CACACACACACTCCATTAATGTGGCTCATAGAGCCTGGTGGGCAGCATGGTCTTGGTCAAAGGAAAAGGTCCTTCCTAAGAGGGTACTTTAGGGACAAAGCCCTCTGCACACTCTGCACATTCATGGCTGGGCCGCCAGGGTAAATGAGGTGTGTAGCTTCCCGGTGGGTTTTTGATACCCGGACCTAACAAGATCTAAACAGATGAAGAGTTTTAACAGCATTGAAGGTATTATGAACAGGATGCTAGCAACTCAGGCAACAGCTGAGAAAAATTAGGTAACACAGTTAACGGGACAGATTCACAGATATAGCTAAATGCATGTAGTAGGATCTGTAGTACAACAGATTCGATGAAGAGGACCGAGGCAGATGGCATAATAAAGGACTAACAGGATATAGGTGGTGGAACCACGGTATTGTTAATAAGATATTGGTGAGGTGCATAACAGCTACAGCTGATGGGAAAGAGGCTACAGCTAAAGGAGTGAGCAGTGGAATTTTACGTGGGGTTGCTATGGCTAAGCAATTCTCCGAGCAATCCCTTCAGTCTGAAAGGACTGGAGCGGCAGAGGCTCGGGACGGTGAAGGCAAAGGTGACCGTCAGACAGGGCCGTGAGAAGTCCAAGGACACGTCGAATTGGTTTTCCAGAAAGTGAAGGGATACTCGGAGCAAGAAGCGGGTCTAATGAAAACCTTTGTTTAAAATGTAACGTTGTAAAATGGCACAGCCACAGTGGAAAACACTATGGGGGCTTCTCAAAAAAATTCAACATAGATTTACTACAAATACACCCAAAAGATTGAAAAGGATGCCTAGAAGAGATATTTGTACGCCCATGTTCACAGCAGCATTACTTACAACAGCCGAAGGTGGAAGCAGCCCACCCACGTGTCCACAGACAGACGAATCAACAAAATGGGATTCCACGGAATATCTTCAGCCTGAGAAAGGAAATTCTGACGCATGCGACAGCCCAGGTGAACTTTGAAAACATCGGGCCGAATGACATAAGCCAGCCACAAAGGGCAAATACTGTATGATTTCCACTTACATGAGGTACCTAGAGTTGCCAAATTCATAGACACGGAAAGTAGAATGGTGGTTGCCAGGGGAGTGATTGTTTAATGGGTACAGAGTTTCAGTTTTGTGATGGATGGTGGTGTCAGCTGCACAACAATAGGAATACACTTAATACCGGTGACATGTTCACTTAAAATGGTTAAGATGGTAAGCTTTATGGTACATGTAATTTACCCCAATAAAAAAATTTTATGCTGACTGAAAGCCATTGACAAAATAATACACACTGTATTACTCCATTTGTGTAAAATTCAAATTGATTTATAGTAACAAAAAGCACGTCAGGGGTTGCCGGGGACTGGAGCAGAGGGGGGGATAGATGACAAAGGGCCCCTAGGAATCGTTAGAGATGATGGAAACGGTTTGTATCTTGATTATGGGAATGTTTTCAAGGGTATCGACATCTGGAAAATACCTTAAATGAATGTATTTCATTGTACATAAATTATTTCTCAATAAAGTTGTAAAAAAAATGTTAAGGGTAACAGAACACTAGCAAATCACAGGTTCACGGTATGCTGCAATGTCCTAGGATATATATGCCCCAAGATATTCAAAC